GACAAAGACTACTTTTTTGGGTTATCCTAGGCAATTTACATTATACATGATAATTTTACAAGTGTACTTGTACCTACATAAACATACCAGGCTGGGGAAAGGGGCAACGATAACTTTCTTTAGGAGCAACATTAGCATTTTCGTATAAATACGGGATATACATCACTTAAGTCCAGATATGACAATTTCCACAGATTATGTCTCTGTTAGGTAAGACACATATGCAACAGTTAGGTATCTAACTGTTGCATATGTGTCTTACCTAACAATCTGTCGGTATTTTATACCATTTTAATGTTCAGATTATGTCTCTGAACGAGGCCACCGTGGAGGATTGAACCCCTGTAAATAACAAGATTAGTACCCCTACCTCTCCCTTTGTTAGGTAAAGCAAAACTACAAATAACTGAAAAGAACCCGCAGAATCTTTAAATCCCCATCCATTCCAAAAAAAGTTTATCTAGATAAAAAGGGTCATAGTTTTATATAAAACCCAAAACAGTAAGGCCCCATATTTCTCTACATGACACTTCCCAATATGTTCAGTCAAGGTACCTGAACAATATATGTAATGGGTCTAGCATTTTAGACACCCATTCTTCTCCCCCCAGAGTACGTTAACTCTCACCCATCACCATCATAATACTCACCATTACCACAACAACGGAAGATATATGTAAGACCATCATTTGGGCACCTAGATGAATACCATATAACTTCTACCACCACCTTTGACAACCTAAATGTTTGGTGGTCACCACACAACTGATGGCTGACCTTCCCTCCCATCCACACAAATACTTCCCTCCTGGACCACCATTATCAACCAGTTACATTGTTTGGTGGCCGAGATATGAAGCTTGAGGATCATTAAGGTGTAATTTATCTCTAGGTTTGTGTAAGCTGTGTCGCTGTACCTGTAGAAACAAAGATTATTATTAATTATTATTTATTATATTATGTAGACTTACCTAGGGTATGGGTATTTAGGGTATTTAGTACAGTACACAATTTTAGATGTTTACAAGTGTCTTACAAGTGTATATGACCTAGGATAACCTCAAAAAAAAGTAAAGAAATGACTTATCTCCTTTGGGATTCTTAAAAATTTTCTTGTTATAATCCTTATGGGTTTAACGCTTACCTTTATATACTAATCGTAAAGGTATATGTATTTTTCTTGATGTGAGCTCGGTCTATATCGATATTGGTTGTATCATGTACTTGTAAATATGTTGATTTAGGTACACATGTATGGTACACATAAGTACAATTATCATACATAGTGTAAATTACCTACCATGACCCCAATGGAAATAAGTCACTATGTCTGATTTTATTTTGGGTTATCCTAGATAATTTGCACATATGCTACAATGCATGATAATTTGTGTGACTATTTATATGCACCTGTACCTAAATACTACCCCCCCCCAAAAAAAAAAAAAGTAACTTATTTCCACAATAAGAGGCTCTATAAAGGTAATTTATATATGCCAATTACCCTAATTGCATAATCTACTCCACTTCACTTTATAGAAATGAAATTTGTTGATTTGTAAGATTATTATTTATAAAATTAAGGCGAAATAAGTGTTGCGTTTCATATGTTTGAGGTCCGGCTGAGGCCGGGTAGTGTCAGCCAGCCTCTCCCCCAGACCGGCACAGCCGCTCCTCATCATCCTACCACCAATATGTTGTCTTATATTGGCAGGAGTGGGCAGCTTGCCCCTACCCTGAAGGGCACGTCCCAGGCAGTGGCTGGAGGACTGAGAAATATTATCCCGGGTGTAGTTGATGGGCAGCAAGTGGAGGTTGTGGCCAGCCAGCCTCCTGTCCTCACCACCACCACCATGGCCAAAATCTGCCCCTCACGGCCTCTCACTGTTAAGTCAGGTGTTGCAGGTACGAAGTAAATGCTATTTCGTCGTAGTAGAGACATGAAAATCACGTAAATTAGGTAAAATATGGCGGGAGTGGGAGTGGAGAATGTTTTGATCAGCTGATCCACCGTCAGCCATGTTGGATATTTATCTCATTTAATAGTCAGAATTTTCATACGTTTCAACTTTTCCTTCAACCCCCGTCCCCCTCATATTGAATTTCTTGATGCTGGTGAAGGGCTCTTGATCCTCAGTAGTGGAGCTGCACTTGGGGATAAATACGAGCGATGAAAGGTTGTAGCATCATTTAAAGAAAACAAAAACTTCTGTTTTCTTCATATTGATGATTTTTTTTTTAATTTAGGATTTATGTGGTGTTAGAACTTTATCAGACTTGTATGATTACGAAAAATTATATGCCCCACTAGGTATTAAAGTTAAAGGACTTTTGCTGTATAGCCCTTGTGGTTTAGCGCTTCTTTTGATAATATAATAATAATAATCAGTGGAAATAAGTCATTTGACTTTTTTTGGTTATCCAGGGTAAATTATGTATTACTATGTAAGACAAGATAAGACTGTATGGATTTTAACCCCAGAGAGTTAGCCACCCAGGATAACTTGAGAAAAGCAGTGCGTCATCGAGGGACTGTCTTATTTCCATTAGGGTCCTCAATCTTTTTCCCCAGATGTGACCCACACCAGTCAGCTAACACCCAGGTACCTACTTGCTTGCTAGTTGAACGGGGACAGCAGGTGTAAAGGAAACACACCCAATATGTTTCCACCTGTGCCAGGGATTGAACCACGGACACTCGTATGAAGCAAGGGCATTACCTACCAGACCACGGGCCATCTAAATAAACTTAATTAGCGTAGCTAGTGATTTATGTGAAATTTCAGCATGAGATTATAGAATAAATTTTCATATCTCTAAGGGATATTTGGCAAGTACAGTATCATACCTGGTATTGCACACACTTCCCTTCTGGTTGCCATTGTATTTTTCAACTTATCAACATTGCAAAGTTATTTTTTACTGTTATTTTGTTTAGGCATAATGTTCTAACCTAAATAGGCTTTTGTTTAATTTTTGGGAAGGTATTTTTTTTTTATTCAGGCTTACATAACTATGGTCTGTAATTATTTAAGTTGTCTATAACAATTCATACAGATTTTCTGTTTCAGCAAGCTCTCAAATACGATATGCCCATAACGGATATCAAAGTACCAGACTTTAGTGCATATCGACGTAATTCTGTTAAGGATACCCATGTCAAAGCTGGTGAATCAGAAACTGCCGGAAAAACTTTCACATACCTGCTTGCTGGAGGTAAGAAATTTTGTATCATGTCTGCTACCTTATTACTCTATGCTAGTAGGAGGATAATTATTAAGTATATTTATTATCTGCAGATGCTTAAATATGTTAATGATTTATGTGCATTACTATGCATTTAGACAAATCCATAGTTATACATAATCCATTTTTGAACTGATATAAATTAGACATTTGTGATTGGATTTATAAGCATTAAGAAGTTGACATTAACACACACGGTGTGTTGGAAAAATTAATATTGGTTAACGTTAAAAAACTTGTTAATAATTCAGTACGCAATAATGTACAGCAGTAAAACTTGTTAATAATTCATTGTTATACTGTAGTGGTTGTCGTTGTAACCATACAGCTGTTAACTGGATGCCAGGATTAACCAGATGTCCAAGCTGTATTAACCCTTTGACTGTTTTGGTCGTATATATACGTCTTGCATGCTACTGTTTTGGACGTATTTATACGCATAAATTCTAGCGGCTTCAAATCAAGCAGGAGAAAGCTGGTAGGCCCACATCTGAGAGAGAGGGTGTGTGGTCAGTGTGCACCACATAAAAAAAACCCTGCAGCACAGTGCATAATGAGAAAAAAACCTGACCGTTTTTTTTGGATTAAAACGCCGACTTTGCTGTGTATTTTCGTATAGTATTTATCGTTGTATTGTTGTTTTCATGAAAAAAAACATATTACAGAAATAGAGATGATTTTGATTAGTTTCACAATGAAAACGACCTTGAAATTGAGCTCAAAGTAGCGGAAATGTTCGATTTTTACCAATGTTCAAGAGTAGGCAAATAACACCACACGTCCAATACACGTCAACTGGGAAGTCTAATATTCTTTCACTAGTGCACTGATATTATTTACACCATTTTTACAATAATGCAGTAGTCTGCATAACTGTAAATTTTGTATTTATTGTATGAATAAAAAATCAAAATAGAAAGCGATAGTAATATAAGAGGGGCCTAGAGACATGACTAATGGACAGAGGATATGTTATTTTAGTGCCAAGAATGTCTACATTGTTTATTCTGGACCCTATTTTGAAATTGGCATCTTCTTTAATTTGTGTGAAATTGGCCAAATTGCCAATTTCTGACCACTTTATTGGGTAGTTCAGATCGGTAAATGGGAGGTTTCTTTTACTCAACAGATAGAAAAAATGGAGTTCTAAAGAAATAGCTATGAGTTTGGACAACTGGAACAACAGAATTGGCCAAAAACAGGGCTCAAAGTTGGCGAAATTGCTGATGCATATACAGTGGACCCCCGAGTTTTGGCAGCCTCGACTTTCGCGAAATTCGACCTTCGGCGAGTTTTTTTGGGAAAAATTTGGCCTCGAGTTTCTTGAAAAAACTCGTGTTTCGGCGACCGTCTGGTACCCATCCGCCCGTCACCGCGCGCACAAAGCCAGTCTCCCACGCCATTCACGCTCAGTGTGCCATTGTTTACCAACACGTGACCATCACCCTGCGGGTTCATACAATACATTTCATAATAATCCATTGTTTTTAGTGCTTGCAACTGCTAAATAAGTCATCATGGACCCAAGGAAAGCTAGTGCAATCCCTTTGGTAAATAAAGTGAGTGACAGGGATGTGGAAGAGTTGGTGGAGGACCACAGGGAAGAGCTAACCGCTGACGAACTGGAAGAGCTTCAACTGGAACAGCATCAGACCACAGCCGAGGAACTTTCTTCAGAGAAGAAGGAAGATGGAGTGGATGAGGTGCCTTCTTCAGTGATTAAGGACATGTGTGGAATGTGGAATGAGTTGCAAAGCTTTGTTGAAAAGTATCACCCTGACCAAGCTGAAACAAGCCGTATCTGCAACATGTACAATGACTGTTGTGTCCCACTTTAGGGAAATCTTAAAGAAACGCCAGAAAAAGACCTCTCTGGATAGATATTTTGTGCACCAGGGGTCCAGTGACTCTCAAGTTGTTCGCAGTGGCATTAAAAGAAGAAGGGAAGTAACCCCAGATAAGGACTTGCTACCTAAAGTCCTAATGGAAGGAGATTCTCCTTCCAGACAATAGTGTACACCTTCCTCCTATCACCACCTCCCATCTTCCATCCACCCAGAAGTCTTCAGTAAAGGTAAGTGTAATGTTATTATTATTTATTTTAAATGCATGTACTACTTGATTTCTGATTGTTTTCATTATGTAAATCTTTATTTAATTTGAAAAAAAATATTTTAATATTTTTGGGTGTCTGGAACGGATTAATTTTATTTCCATTATTTCTTATGGGGAAAATGGTTTAGTGAATTTCGACCTTCAGCGGGCTCTCTGGAACAGATTAATCATGAAACTCTGGGGTCCACTGTATGTCGCCGAGACCGCTAACTTCGCGGGAGAGTAATTCCGTGAGTTTTCAACCAAATTTCGTACTTTTGGTGTCGCTACCATCAGGAAAAGATTCTCTATCATAAGAATTTTTTTTTTTCTCAAAAATTTTGCGATATAGAATGACAGTTTCAGAAAGGAGCTTGCGACAGTCAAAGGGTTAAAGTAGAAAGATAGGCACCTCTACGAATCGCACTGTGAGAGGGGGGAGTGTTACAAAATGTGAATCTTCATAAATAGTTTTTAAAGGTATTCTTGTAATTTATACAGTGTAAAGCACCCTTCTGGCAAGACAGTGATGGAGTGACTGATGGTGAAAGTTTTTCTTTTTCGGGCCACCCTGCCTTGGTGGGAATCGGCCAGTGTGATAATAAAAAAAAAATATGAACTGTGCTTTAGTAAATAAGAATTGCTCTAGCTTTCTACTAGCATGTGTGTTAAAACTCATAATTTTGGGGAGAAGTTTTTTCCTATCAGTACTGTACTGAGAAACTTTGGTGTCCCAGGCATACTTACGTTTTAGTTCACTTAACCCGTAAACGGTCCAAGCAGATCTACGTTCACGTGTAGTGGTACAAAAGTAGATCTACGTTTTTTTTACATATTTTCAAATATAACAAAAAAAAAAGAAAGTAGATCAAAGTTTTTTTACACATTTTCAAATGTAAAGAAACAAAAAGAAGATCTACATTTTTTACATACTTTCAAATGTTGAAAAAACGTGTATGTATATACGTTCGGACCGTTTACGAGTTAAATAGATGGTACCATATTTAAAATATTTGTTCAACCCTTTTATAGTGTAGGCAGATAACTGATTTTCTGTTGAACCTAGTAAGTATAAATTGTATACCTCTTTCCTTATTTTTATGCATTGAATGTAAAATTTTTATCTTGACTGCACATTGAATTTTTAGTTGTTTAAGTTATATTTTCTGGCTTTCATGTATTATTGTGATTAGGATGTAATTTAAGATTTTTGGTTACTGTTACTAGCTTTTGGGTATGATTCACGATACTACTAGTATGATAGTATATGTACTATGAAGAATTTAAATTTTTTTTTTTTTGACTATTTTTCCTTTATTGCAGTTTATTATAAAGTAGCCATTTATACAAAGTTTTGATCAGATGTCAGTTTTTCAAAGTGCCATATTTTCAGGACCCTTGCCCATTTTGGTCTGAAGCACATCTATAGCAAAATTTCACTCTAACCTGTCTAAAGTATTTACCACATGTCAAATACTCGACAATATATTCTGCATTAAAATATCTACTGGTATGACCTTACTCCCCAAAGAAAGGATTTCATAAGCTGTTGTTAACATTTAGGGATTACATTTTTTTGTGAAGTGTGCAGTAATAATGAGTACAATTAGAACCTGATCTTATACCTGCTTATATTTTCAAATACCCTATACTGTAATTAGTGGTGAATGAGCCCCCCTGGAAGCAGGAAGCATTATGTAGAACAAGCTTGATCACACTATGGTTTAGGTGCTGCATGTGACTGCTCATTCAGTTCTGCTCCATGAGACAATATCCAGAACAGGAAGCATACTTAGATAATGTGTAAAGTTTCATTGAATGAATAGACAATCCACACGAAGCCATGGCTTGGTCACATCTCGTACAAATCTTTCGGGACAGCATTTTTCCATGAAGAAAAGGGAACTTTGGTGAAAAAATTCCACTTTATGGTTATTGAAATTGCCTGTTCTTAGAATAAGACTATTAAAAAGGGGGCATAAGGAAAGAAAAAAAAAATGGTGATTACTAACCAATTGTATACCAAAGATGTCCAGAAGGTATGTGTACTTGCAATCTCTTCTTTTGTATTCGCTTTAAAATTTGCATGAACACTGTTATCGTTTCAAAAAAAATTTTTTTGGGTGGCACTGTTCGGGGATGTACTGTGCTAAAAAATATTTTACAAAATTTGTCTCCAACATTCTTTCTGTGAGACTGGCCAGGGAAAAAGTTTGAAATAAATTGGTTTCTTCCCAAAGGAAAATCTGTCAGTTCAAGTGGAGAGCAAACCTTTTTTTTATTAACACAGGTAATGCTTTGATGGAAGATTGAATGAATGTTTATAAAATACTAACTGTGATTTGCTCGAAAGATATATTGTACAGGGGAACCCTCAAAAATTAACTTAGCCGCCGGAGTTCTAAATTTCGAAAAGTCTGAAATTTAAGCAATTTTTCCCATTGAAATAATGGAAAACATTTAATCCTTTCCAAAAACCCCAAAAATATTCACACAAAAATACATTTAATGAGTTTAAATTTACAGTTTTCATACAACAAATACTATTTTTTTTAAATTAAACATAGTAAATATTTAAAAAAATTTTTTTTTACTTCCCTTTTATTGAAGTTGGTGAGGCATCGGAAAGGGGGAGGAGGGGAGAGGGGTTGGGGTTATTTTTGGAAGGGAGAAAACCCCCCATGAGGAATTTAGGTAAAACCCTCTTTTGGGGGTTTCTTCCCTTTTGTCTTTTAAAAGCCACTGGGCCATTGATGTCACGGGCCCGCTCACAAAATAACTGCCCAGCCTTGTTTCTGGGCCCTAACTTTCCCTAAAATGGGCATGGTTCTGTCACTGAACTTGTTACAAAAATGGCTTTTTAGCTTGCTCAGGGGGGTACTTTTCACAAAAATTTGGGCATCATTCCCTGGGACAAAAAATCCTTATCTTTTAAGAAGGCACCTCATCCACTCCCATATAACACCCTTTCGCAACACAGCTTTCCCTTTATTTGTTTTTCTTTGACAGGATAGAACCGATGGTCCCTTTTTTTTTCCCCTACTCCTGGCAAGCTCAACAAATCCGCACCACTCTCATACATCGTATTATTTCCCCTTTTCACATCTATGGTGTTTTTTCCTTTCTTTACCACAGGGGTGCCCTTCAAGTTTTTTTTGGGGCCCCTGGCAGCTATTTCACATCCCCCAAACACTAAACACAACGAATAATCGTAATATGCGTGAAAGAGCGCAGGTTTTTGTTCATCAAGCTAAACAAACTCTGCTCACGGCGCCCCGTCGGGGACGCGGACGAGCGGGGCAGACAGGTCCCTACCCGGGGGTCCGAAAAAAAGGGGGGCCCTTCGTAATAGGGGGCACAGTTTGTCCCCAAAAAAAATGGTCCATTTTTTGAAACGTTTTGATATGTGATACGTTCGATTTTTGAGGTTCCACGTTTTGTTTTAAAAAAGGTTTTTAATGAAGCAATAATACGTATACTGCATTTTCAATAAACAAGTTTAAATCAGGGTTGTAGGAAGGTGTATAGCAAGCTTTGTTAAATATTTGCCTGAAATTGTCAGAGAACAATTGAATGATTTTAGTGGCAGCATTAGATAATAGAAAAGCTAAATGCAAAAGCATACAAGGTCAACATAAAATATGCCCCACCGAGAAAACGTGAAAAGTGATCATACCATGAATGGACACGATTCTATAGAGGAATAGGGTCATGGAACTGCTTAATAAACGACATCTATCACAAGGAAATCTATGCAAGAAAATAGTACTATAGAACAGTAGCTTTGGCATAGATACCAGATAGAAGAAACACAAATGGAACAAAAAAGCTTTCAAGAAATTTGGAAAATAAAAAATGTTTTTTTCATGTACAAAATCCAAGTTAGAAGTCTGTATGTATTGTCCCTATACTTGAATATTCATACTCTAAAGAAGTAAGGAAAACCTTGAACAGTATGAATTGGTGTTCAGCGATCCTATTGCTGCCATGATAGCTGAACACCCAGATTGTTTATTCATGAACTGCTAGCCCTGTATATTATATATGGAATTTTATATTAGCACAAGTCCTGCAGACTTTAAAAAGAGACATAGATAACATGTGCACATACTCAGCCCCTGTTGAACCAATATTAAAGAAAACTAGATGGGGGAGGTTGATTTTGTTGGAAGATAGGATAACCAGGATAGTAATTGTAGGAGACAGTGATGTTAATATTCATATGTAAAAAGGTTAGGGGGATATACAAGGTGTTTTCTCCTGTGAAAATATTCTGTATTGGCTACCTCTAAAAATACAATTAATGGCATGTCTACATGTTCCAATAAAAAAATTCTATTACAGGACAGATACAGAAATCGAAACTGAGGCTAATGTTGATGTGAGCAGTTTACGTGACCCACAACATGACTCTGATCGCTGCACAGATCCCAAGTGGCTAATTGTTCTTGGGGTGTGCACCCATCTTGGTTGTGTACCAATTGCAGATGCTGGTAAGTTTGTATTACATATTAAATTAGTTTTTAATTAATGAAGGATGATACTGGTTGATAATTACTATAGTATTTAGTTTTTGCTATTGCATAATTGTACACCTTTATTCTAGATATTTGAAATTTTAAGTCGCATACAAAATTTGACTTGCTGCCATTTATATGCTTTCCCCTCCCCCCACTCAAAATATAAAAAAAATTGTTCATTTTTTTTATCTAGGTTTATGACCCTTGTGGGTTTAGTGCTTAGTTTTGATTATAATATCTGGTTAGCTGGACTTGAGTCCTGGAGGTGGGAAGTACAATGCCTGCACTTTAAAAGGGGTTTGCGATATTGGCTGTTTGGAGTGACGTCTAAACTGTCGTATCTGAGTGCCTCTGCAAAGACAGTGATTGTGTCACCCTGCCTCGGTGGAAAACGGCTGACATGTTAAAAAAAAAAAAGTGGAAAAAATGGCATTCTGCTTTCCGGCCGGCAGTAGCCAGGAACGTAACCTGCCATATCAGTAGGGCCCTGCTGTATATTGTACTCAAAAATATTCTAAAATATTATCATCTTGATTTGTCATATAATTCCAGGTGAATTTGGTGGATATTACTGCCCGTGCCATGGTTCTCATTATGATGCATCTGGCCGCATCCGTAAAGGTCCTGCACCACTTAACTTGGAGGTTCCAGCACACGTCTTCACTGAAGATGGACTCCTCATTGTAGGCTAAATCTCAAGTGACTTCTTTCATAAAATTGTTTCTTACTATTAATATTAAAGAAGAGTTTAATTTAATAGGTGTTATTTATTGTTCACGATAAAACCATGTTACTAATAATGAGCTAAATTTGAGCATTCTCGTGGTAGTGGAAAACTGCAAAATTAACGGTGACAAATTTCTAAAAGATAAATTATCACAGGTTTGTAAATATGGGAACATACATCCTTCTTGCCTTGTGTTGTAGATATTGTAAAGATGAGTTAGCAAACACGAACCACAGACGTGAGACTTGCTAGCCCACCTAACAGAAAACTGTAATATAAAACAAAATTTTATTACCATATGCTTTAATTGACCCTACTGGTAAATTATTATATATACATATATGTCCTTTATGAAAGTATGAAAGTATAGTAGTACCAACACTCTTATATGGGTGTGAAGCTTGGGTGGTAAATGCAGCAGCGAGGAGACGGTTGGAGGCAGTGGAGATGTCCTGTTTAAGGGCAATGTGTGGTGTAAATATTATGCAGAAAATTCGGAGTGTGGAAATTAGGAGAAGGTGTGGAGTTAATAAAAGTATTAGTCAGAGGGCAGAGGAGGGGTTGTTGAGGTGGTTTGGTCATTTAGAGAGAATGGATCAAAGTAGAATGACATGGAAAGCATATAAATCTATAGGGGAAGGAAGGCGGGGTAGGGGTCGTCCTCGAAAGGGTTGGAGAGAGGGGGTAAAGGAGGTTTTGTGGGTAAGGGGCTTGGACTTCCAGCAAGCGTGCGTGAGCGTGTTAGATAGGAGTGAATGGAGACGAATGGTACTTGGGACCTGACGATCTGTTGGAGTGTGAGCAGGGTAATATTTAGTGAAGGGATTCAGGGAAACCGGTTATTTTCATATAGTCGGACTTGAGTCCTGGAAATGGGAAGTACAATGCCTGCACTTTAAAGGAGGGGTTTGGGATATTGGCAGTTTGGAGGGATATGTTGTGTATCTTTATATGTGTATGCTTCTAGACTGTTGTTTTCTGAGCACCTCTGCAAAAACAGTGATAATGTGCGAGTGTGGTGAAAGTGTTGAATGATGATGAAAGTATTTTCTTTTTGGGGATTTTCTTTCTTTTTTGGGTCACCCTGCCTCGGTGGGAGACGGCCGACTTGTTGAAAAAAAAAAAAAAAAAAAAAAAAAAATATGTCCTTTTACATTTTTTCAATACTGAAGCATAATTGGTGTGCATATGGTCTGCATTGTGATCAGATAAGGTGAGTATTTACTATTGGAATCAAGAAATTTGAATTTGATAGATCTTTTGCTCCTTCAGGGTCGAAACCCTTGCTCTCAAACCTGCTCTCAGGATCTCTCGGTAATTTAAAAAAAAAATTACTTTTTGTTGTGAAATCAGAGAATGTTTTTCTGAAGACAATAAAACAAAAAGTACAAAATTTGACGGAAAACTGATGAAATTACACTCTTGCATTTTGCTGCGTCAGTGATATTTACGTATTGACGATTTTTCCACTTTAGTCCAATTTTAGACTACTTGCAGTGTTCCAGATGACTAAATTCTTAGCTATTTCACTAGCATGTCTTCCATTCTTTCAATTGCACTCGAGAAACTGCCCATTCAACTATTTAAATTACCCAATAAAGTGATCAGACATTGGTAATTTGACCAATTTCACACAAAATTCAAGATATGCCTATTTCAAAATAGGGTCCAGAATAAACAATGCAGACATTCTTGGCACTAAAATATAATTTTCTCTCTTACTTTATCACATTTCCAGGCCCTTCTTATATTACACTTGCTTTCCATTTTGAATTTTTATTCGCAGAAAAAACAGATTTACTGTTATGCAGACTACTGCATTATTGTAATAATTGTATAAATGTCAGTGCATTCCTAAATGCATATTAGACTGGCCAATTGGACACTTACCGGACAAGTGATGTCATTTGTGTACTCTGGAATATCGGCAAAAATTTAATATTTCTGCTACTTTGAGGTCATCCTCAAGCTATTTTCAGTCCTGAAACCAATCAGAATTATCTCTATTTCTGTAATATCTCTTCCATCCTATATTGGACTGTCCTGTCTATTAACGAGCCCACATAATTTTTGTCCGACATCGTCGCCACTCTAACACCCTTACTTTATCTTCCCTCCTTCCTGATGGCCCCACCTTTGATACAGACTCCCTCAAGGAAGGTTCCTTGATGCTGATGAGGGGCTCTTGATCTTGGGAATTGGATCTGTGCTCCAGTTCCCTGAATTAAGCCTGAATACCTTTCACATCTCCCCACAGGCGCTGTATAATCCTACGGACTTAGCGCTTCCCCCCTTGATTATAATAATAATAATTATAATAATAATAAATTTGACACAGACTTCCTCTTAGATTGCAACTGATTTATTAAACTTTGATAATACTTCCTTTAGCACTCCTCATGGCCCTTTCTAAGTCTACCTCTGTTATCTTTTCCACCCTTGTTATTCTGTGATCAGCATTACTGTCTGCCCTGTAGCATTGTGTGACCCTAGTGGGTTTAGCTCTTCTTTTTTATTATATTAATAATCTTCTTTTCTATCACATGAGACAGACCGAGAATACAACCATAAAAACCACATGAAAATACACTGCAAAGTCGCTATTTTAAACCAGAAACACAGTCGCAGTTTTTTCTTTTTAAGGTGCATGCTTGCCACATACACGTTCTTTCATATCTAGGCTCAAATTTACTGCTCACAGCTTATCCGAGTGAGCTGAGCTCATGGTGTACTACGGGACCGACACTGACTTCAAAGCCGTGATACAACGGGATCGACCCTGAAAGGGTTAATACCATAATAAAGGTCTGCATTAAGGTTTTTTGAGGATTATATGCAACACACTACTCTTTTAAGACAGTCTCCTTTTTGAGTAGGAGTGCTTGTGGTCTTCATCATTGACATAATATTCATGTAAGAGTTTGATACAAGGCAGAGAAGAAATAGAGTAGTTCAAATAACTTGATTCAAGATCTTTCCAGCTTTAAGGCACCACAACCCTTGAAGGGAGGCAGCAGGAAAGGTTTGAATATAAGAATAAAATATCCCAACCTATCTCAAAAGTTTGATGTTTTAGAGCTCTTGATCCAAGGAATTAGAGGTGCTCTCCCTTGCCTTTGATGGAGACTTTACCTTTTTTTTATAGAAACTTTTTATAGAAGTATCTTTTTTATCTACTAACTATTGCACCAACTTTGATTTAATTTTACCTTGAGCATTCTACACTGCTGGCCCTTGCATATTCTTAACCTTGTATGTTCCTCTTTAGCACATCCCTCCTTGCAGTGCTGCATGACCCTCTTGGGTTTACTGCTTAGTCTAATATTATCTCCCCTTCCTTGGATTGAATCCGATTGCCTCCCATTCCCCAGGCACTATCAGCGCTGTGTGACCCTGATGGGTTTAGCGGCTAGTTATGATTATAATGATCTCCAGGCACTGTATGACCACCCCTATGGGTTTAGCACTATCCCCAGGAATATAATCCTTATCTTGTTCCTCCAGATGAGTTTTAGAATTTAACTTTATAATAATAAATTCCTCCAGGTGCTGTATGGACCCCTACTGGTTTAGCGCACTCCATGAATGTAATGTATGACTCCTATGGGTTTAGTGTTCTTGATTATAAAAATACTTTACACAACACCTCCCTCGCTCTCCCACCTTCTCCCTCCTCTTTCTCCCTTTTTTCTATGGACCATTCTGAATTAAAATGCTTTCAGCTAAGATATTCTGCCTCATGTCCATGTGTAGCAACAGCAACATAGATGAGAAAATGAACTTCATTTGGCCTTGACATATCTACTGGATTTTGAACCTTGTTTCTAAATACAGTCCCTTCAAGGGAGGTTCCTTGATGCTGGTGAGGGGCTCTTGCTCTAGGGAATTGGATCTGTGCTCCGGTCCCCTGAATTGAGCCTGAGTACCTCTTTATCCCCCCCCCCACAAGTGCTGTATAATTCTACTGGTTTAGTGCTCTCCCATGATTATTATTATATTCTAAATACAGTAAGTCCTCGACTTACGAGCACATTGGGGGACCTCCTGAATTGTCTATTATTTTTTTTTTTTTCCAACAAGTCGGCAGTCTCCCACCGAGGCAGGGTGACGTATTCATAATACAGGACGTCTTCAACTAACGAACATGTTGGGGACCTTCTGTATTATGCATAATATACATATTAATGATACAATGCAGAAGATTCTCACCGTGTTTGTAAGTAGAGGACTTACTGTACAAGGATAAAGCTGTTGAGCCTTGCCATGTCGCCAACTGGAAAAGCCCAGGCTGGGACAACACCGACGAACCCACATCAATCAACTATCAACAATTGTGAGGACATCTCTTAACTATGGCATACCACCAAGAAATTGAAATTCCTGTGTGTATGGCAATATCTTGAAAATTGAAATAAATTATTTTCTTTCAGATTGATGCTGTATAACCCTTGTTGGTTTAGCACTTTCTTAGATTATAATAACAATAATCTTACAGATTGAAAAAGTGCATTTTCATGAATCAAATAAGATTAAAATGAGTATATTCTAACTAAAACTTAAGGTTTTATGGTTTAACCCCTCAAGGGAGGTTCCTTGATGCTGGTGAGGGGCTCTTGATCTAGGGAATTGGATCTGTGCTCCAGTTCCCTGAATTGAGCCTGAATACCTTCCATCCCCCCCCCTACATGCGCTGTATAATGTTACGGGTTTAGCGCTCCCCCATGATTATAATAATAGTAATTTATGGTTTAAGTTGAAAAAATGATCTGCACCAATAATTTTTTTTTTTTTTTTAAGTGCTAAATTTAGAGTTTTTTTCAGTATTTTTTAAATGTTTAAGCTGTATACCCCTCATGGAAGGTTCCTTGATGTTGGTGAGGGGCTCTTGATTTAGGGAATTGGAACTGTGCTCCAGTTCCCCGAATTAAGCCTGAATGCCTTCCACATCCCCCCCCCGGGTGCTGTATAATCCTACGGGTTTAGCGCTTCCCCTTTGATTATAATAATAATAATAATCTGTATAGCCCTTGTGGCTTAGCACTTCTTTTTGATTATAATAATAATTTAAATGTTTAAGTCTGTTATGAGTACTTTCTTATGAAGTTAAATGTGTTTTCAAAGGTGTTTAGCAATGTTCTATCCCCCCCGTATGTTTATCCCCTGTAGTTTAGTGCTTCTTTTTGATTATAATAATAATAATTATATGTTTAAGCACTTAGCTATGATTTAAATTTAGTTTCATTTTAATACAGGTCAGCACCTACTCTTCAGGCTTCGTTTAGTGTTTCACTAAT